CACAAAGTTCTGAGCATTTAAAAGGAAACGGATGATTTTCTGCAGTAACTGGCATCAAACTAACCATTACACATAATGTAGTTTGACCCAACAAAGGTGCAGACACAACAAGAAGCCCAAAAACTACAGTCCTTAGTAATACTGAATATCCCAATGGAAAAATAAATACATTGAGGGAACATAATAACATTTTCTTGCAGAATTGTGTAATATTTGCGATTTGATTTTTATTTACAATACGCAATCACTAAAGATAATGAGATCAGTTGGGTTGCTAGTATAAATTGCATTGTGTATGTCCAGGATTAGAAATGTCAGCTAATTTTTATTAGGAAGCAGGTTAATCAAAAAAAGGGTATATAAAGAACTCCAAAATAGCTAAAGCGTATTCCTATTGTGTAAATAGAAATTGTGCTGCCTATCATTCAGTCATATTTGTGTGTCTTTTAGTGATCACTCAGCTGAAATGTCTGTTTCAAGCTAAGTGGAGATACTATGTTATGTTTTATGTCAAAATAATTACATAATTATATTCAAAGCTAAATTATTTAAGATGGGAAAACATTCTGATATGCTTTTGACAGTCAGAATCTTGGCAGGCACAAATCATCTTAACAATGAAATTCCATTAACACGTGTATTTACTTCATTTAAACCAGTATTCACAAATATGTATCAACCACAGGTATAATTCCATGTGATTGTTAAAAGGTGGTCATTTGTAACATGAAACACTTTTTTTGCACAATGCCTCTACTTTATTGTTGCCGTGTATTTATATTACTCCTGCTTGTTTTCCCACTGACTATCAGCCAGAGCCTGCATGATCTTACCCAGAATCCTTTACTTGCCATTTAGTCTAAATATGTAGTGCTAAAAAGTTTGTAGGCAAAATCCAAGAGAGAAAGGCTGGAGATTCCGTACTATGCAATTAAACCCTTTTAAGTCATTCAATAACTGTATAACTAAATGCATGTGGACTTGAGTTGCTAGGAGGGCATATTATTAAGCCATTCACATGTTTATACATTAGTAAAGTTATATATAAAAAAAAAAATAGTAGCCCAAACTATTTATAGACTTCAACATTTAATTCCTTTTTTTTTTTTTTTTTAAGATAGGTGCATTTTAAATGTTTACTCTACTTATTCTAGGCTCTAGATCATAGGAATAAGCAGAAATTTGTGGCAGTATCAGTACCAACTGAAATCTATGTTTATTCTTTGAGGGCTTACAATCTAAAAGGGAGGGGCAAGTGATACATGAGGAGGTAGCTATGTGGGGATGAAATGTTTGAAAAAGTGATAGTTCAGTGGTTAGGTTGAGGTGGAATAGGCTTCCCTGAAAAGATGAGTCTTAAGAGATCGCCTAAAGACAGTCAGAGTGGGAAATCGTCGGACAGGTTGGGGTAAAGAGTTCCAGAGGATGGGAGAGGCTCTCGAGAAGTCCCGGAGGCGAGCATGGGAGGAGTTGACGAGGGAGCTGGAAAGCAGGTGGTCATTGGAAGAGCGGAGGGGACGGTTAGGGTGATACTTTGAGACGAGGTTGGAGATATAGCCGGGTGCAGAGTTGTGGATGGCTTTGTAAGTCGTTAAGTCGTAAGCAATGTTATTAAGTCGTTAATATTATTAGCAATGTTAAAGTCACCAAGAATGATAGTGGGTATTTCTGAGGAGAGAAAGTAGGGTAGCCACATATAACTACTTATCTGAGCCTTCTCCATGCCCACAGCTTGGCTGCATTTGGAGCCTTCAGTCCAAGTTCTACAGGGCATGTGCAAGCTAATCACAGTTATGAATAGGCTGCCCCCATCTGAGATGTGAAGGTTAGCCTCTACTATCAGGGTTTACACAAGCATATTGGGGTTTACTAAGGAGAGTAAGCAAGCATGTGCCAAAGCTAATTACATAGCTTGGAACAAGTGGACAGTGCTTAGGAGGTCTCAGAAAAAGTATTCCACTAAAAATTAAGCTTTGTTTGATTAACCCCTTAATAACCAAGGCCTTTTTTTGCACCCATGTTACAATTCACATTTTAGGGCAGAAAATTACTTGAAACCCCCAAACATTATATATTTTGTGAAAACCAAGACCCTTTAGAATAAAATGTTTATGTTGCACAATATTAGCGGAACCTATTATCAAACCCAAAAAGTTAGCGAAAAATGCACTTAAGTTAAATTTAGTGCCCCAAAATACGTTTATAATGTGTTCAGCATTATAAAAAAAATATAAAAGATGAAGTTACGAGTAGATGGATACCCAACATGCCCAGGTTAAACATTTTGTGCGTCTGTGAAACGGCAACAAGCTTAAGTACACCAAAAAGTCCACAGGCGATGCTTTAAAAGCACCTAGAGGTAATCAGTTATGAGATAAGCATAAATATTGGCCCTAGAATTATTGCTCGCACTCTGGCGAGCGCTGCAATACCCAACAGTCGTTTTCGTACATAGGTGCAACCATGTTTACGTTATGACGCGAGTGCTTGCGTGGGACTTTAAATTTTTTTAAAAAATTTGTACATTTATTTAAAAATGTATTTTTGCTTTACTGTACTTGCTATCACATAGGGAGGCTTACAAGTTTACTGCTGAGTCGCCAGAATAGCTTCTATTGTAAAGCCGGCCGCCGGCTCTACAAATGTAAATAGACTCGAGAGTCTGTTTAAATGAGCCCACTGCCAGTGCCAACTATGTACTGAAAGCGTAGTTCCACTTTTGCATGAAATTTGAGAAAACTCCACTCTGTCTAGTATGTCTTCCTATTCACACAGCGTACCTAAAGCTACATTTAAAAAAAAATGTTCATACCTTTTCAGTTGTTTCTTTTAGCAGACTGAAAGCTCAACAAATAGAAATTGGAGGGGGACAAAGTGGGGACAGACGGCATTTCCCTCATTAACACACAGTGTAGAAAAGGACACAGTGTTCAAATCTACTTTACAACTGATGAGATATTCTTGCATAGTAAAGACAGGCTTAATTACAGTGGAGACTGCCAGATGACCCCGCTCGGAGCGCCGCCCAACGGAGCAGCAGTGACGCGACGCTCGGTGAGGTAAGTAAGAAGACACCTGACGCTGACTCGAGTATAAGCCGAGGGGGGGCACTTTTCAGCCAAAAAAATGGGCTGAAAATCTCGGCTTATACTCGAGTATATACGGTAACTCCCCAGTCCATCATTAACATTACATAACGACGGAAAATCTCAGTTTAGGAGTTTCTAGAAAACAGAAAGTAAAGATGGATTTTCTTTTAGTTAGGATTATGCTATGTGAATGGGAACAAATTTAAAGCATGTGTGTCCCAACTTGGCTGCAAAAGTGAAAATACACTTTAGACTTCCAAGGCTCTTATTTCTTCCATGAAACTGGTTATTCCCACGTTACAGTTTGTGACTTTAGCTGGCTGAGCTTAATATGGGTGTAGAAACATTTTGCAGTTTTGCTGCACGTTCATAAAATGATCTACACTCCCTTTTAACATTGATCACTGGTGCAAACTGAGGTAAAATCATAATTTCTTGCACTCGTCATTCAGTTGGCGACATTAAACCCTTGGTTTTTTTTTAAGCAGCAGTGTATATGGCCATTTATTTATTGAGCTTTTTTTTTTTTTTTTATTGCACTCACAATTTATTTTTAGCAGCTTTCATTCTGCGGCCATCTCCCCTCCTGTTTGTAGAGGAGACACCAATGTGTTCTCCCAGCCGGCAACTAAGCCGAGCTGTGTGCATTCACCGACACACACACAATGCTTGATAAGCCACGCCCCTTTTGCATGCCTCCTCACAGTAATATGACAGGCAGGTGGAGTGGCCTATTGCTGCCCTGCCCCCAGTGGCCTTGGGATCCTGCCCCTCAACACGGAACTTCGGGGACACAGCAGATCGCCCGGGAGCCGGCAATTGGGTGGGGCGGGGGAGGCATAGAAAGGTAGCAGGAAGTTTTTTTTACTTTAATGCATTCTCTGCCTTTCGTACTACTTTAAGGTTTGCATTCTTTTGTGTTTGAATAACTTTAGTAGTGGAAATTTCTCAGTTGTAATCTGCTCAGTATCCGCATACCATAGCACTTTCTCTTCTAGCGCCAATATCACATCCAATTGATTCAACCTACTCTATGCAACTGTTTTGTGACATTGCACATATTTCAACTGCTGAGTTTTTGTGTCCAGCATTTGTGACAGTAAGAGCTCCAAACAGACACACATCCTAGAAGTTCTCCTGAGCACTTCTTAAACTACCGCAAAGATGGCTCATACCCTCAAGTCAGCTGAGCAGCTCAGGCTATTCAGCTGTCATCCAGGGGGTTCCCAACAAGCTTGTAGCAGTTTAAAAAAAAAATTATAGCAACAGTTTTGAGACAATTCTCCTTACGTAGGCATTTAGGAATGAAACAAACTAAGATGATAAATCTGTCACTATATGCACTAGAAATAAGTGATCCGATAGTTTGAGAGACACTGATAATGTGGCAACATTAATCAATTCCCCACATTATCTTTAAATATATGGAAAACCATCATTCATTATGAATGGCATGCACAGTCTATGGTTATTAGAGCACTGGCCCATATAAAACAGTAAGCCTCAACTACCGTAGTAGTTTAGAGACGCAAGCCCTTCTACTGCTACCAACGTTGGCTATTAGAGCTGATCAGGTGCAGAGTACCTGTGCGAGTATTAGCAAAAGTCCTATAAAACTGAAAGGTATGCAGGACATGCATTTATATATTTAAAAATATATATTTTAACACCTGTTAGTATGATCAACAACAGCTACAGCTATGTGTGAATGTAGCTCACTAGCCAATAACATTGGGGACCTCTGGTGTATGGCATATCTGTGAGGGCAGAGATGTCTGCAGGAATGCACAACCTCTTGCTGAGTAGAGATTTTTCAGGTCCTCCACTCACCGATCTATAACAAATTCTTCATTCTAACCCGATTCTGAAATTCAAGTCAACGTAATACAAGTGGACCACATGCATCCTCACCTTTCTCCTGCTCTGTAACAACCTTCTCCAGCGCATAATCCCAGTCAAAGATAAATCGATAGAAACATAACTGAGTGTACAAGGCTTTCTCCGGGTACTGCAAAATAATCAACGAAAAAATAAAAATCAATAACAGCAACTGGTACATTTATCACCCTGTAAAATGTGAGAGTAAAAAACTGCTTTAATGCAACAAAAGCAGGTATGCAAGCAATTATCCGGAACAAAAGCAGCAGAATTCAGCTTTACTTCAAGAGCAAATATCTGTGGATATCATCACGTTTACAAACCAGAGTGAGTTTTTTTTTCTCTCAAACACGAGAAGACATAGCAACATCGATCTCACACAAACACGAGATATTACTTTTTTTCAATATAGATGAAGTTGCAGCAGCAGTAGTATTGCAAGCAAGGGAAAACATAAATCGTGCATTTTGGGCATGTTAAGCCAGCCACTAATGTCCCCTCCTCCATAAAGGGAGGGTATTGGAGAAAAAGATAAAAATTAATTGGTGGATGGATTATGACTTCACATCTGTTTACCTGCTGTACTCGAGTAACTACAAGTTCTAATCACAAATGGACACGTAATGCCTCCTAAACTAGGCAGATTCAGGACCCAATCACACCAGTGTTCGGACCAGATACGGTAGGTAACTTTTTTTTTTCCGCACCAAAAATGCATCCCAATATATTTGTATGTGATTTCTGTGCTATGTTGACTCCAGTGCAGGAAAAAAAAAATACTGAATGTCACATTTCCTCTGTACCGGAACGCGTCACAAACGCACCAAACCAGAATGAGAAAAAAATAAACAAACAAATTCCCTGAACTATGTGAACCGAGACACCACGACTACAAAAACAATACACAGGACTAAAAAAAATGCATCTACATCCAAATTTTATCCTGATTTTACACGAATGAGAAGAGCCGAAAAGGAGCGCTGTCGTGAGTACAAACACTTCATGTATTATGATTGCATGCATACTACTCTTTTGCTGTAGCTGCCCACTGATTGCATGTATACTGCTTTTCTGATGTAGGTTTCCTGCGAGCACGTTGTTTCAGGATTGCAATAACCATAATGAAGAACATACCTGCCTACAAATCAAACAGGTCTGCTCATGAGCTCACACAAACAAGAGGACGAGCTATGACATGGAGCAGGAAGTGACCTCAGAGATTAATTTGCATAGTGCCATTCTCCCCACCCCCCAAAAAACGCACCGGAATGCTTCAGCAACACGTAAAAAACCACCGCATTTGCAGAAATGCGTGCAGATCTGGTCCGGACATGGTGTGACAGGGCCCTCAACGCACACATTTTCTTGTTCACATATTGCAGATTTTGTCTGCTCCAGTTTTGATAAATTCCCCTCACGGAGTATTTGGTGGAATGGGGAAGGATAAGTGCATGGCTTGTCAGGGGTGATCAAGGGAAACAGCAAGTGTAGTTACATTAAGGAAATCTGGTTTTAATAGTGAAAGACAGGGGAAGTCATCAGTTCTGCTATATGAAGAAATTCAAGGCCTTTCTTGCCAAAAACATGTCCTAAAAATTTGTCATTCACAACAGTAAGCTTTTACCAAACCTTTCAAGGCAACTTTCAGCTCCAGATCGGGGCCAAAACAGGTTTTCTGAGGTGTTTAAACCCGTCACGTTTTTATTGCAGTCCGACTCTGTAAAGGCTCCGTTTACACAAAAGCACTAAACATAAAAACTAAGACAATGCAATGTATCATCACATCTGTTCGACGTCCGCACAAAAAAGTCTAAGCGCAACATTCTGGGCAGATTCCGCATGTTGCCTTGTCGCACTCCTTACCGGAGATGGCCAATAGCAGAGGGGGTGCTCGTAGTGACTGCGGATGGTGCCGCCAGACAATAAATGTAAATGGATACCAGCACACCGAAATAATTTCAAATCACCAAGTGCCCATTTATTGAGTGTCAGGTCATCAGAACAAGCTCTTTCTGGCCATGCAGGGTCCCCTTTATCAGGCTCAGCAATGACGTGTGCGCAAATCTCACAGCACATTATATAGACAGAGATGTAAAAACCGCCCGCAAGAACAGCCCCTGATGGCTTTGTGACGTCATAAACCTGCCATAAATGTTGTAAGCAGATAGCAGCATAGTCATAATCACCTAAAAAAATAACCACAGGAATAACACGATGTTGAAAAAAATTGGTATTGCGTAAAAGTCATATACTAAGCATAAAACAACTTGGCTATAGTAGTAGCCACAAACGTTCAGAATCCAAGAGTTTGTTAAAAATGTGCGTGTTTGAGGAAAACCATGCGAAAAACGCAAACTTGTGTGAATGGAGCCTTAAGGGGATTCACTCATGATAACTGCCCCGATAGCCAGAACAATGGAAGTAAAAGTGAGTTGACACCAGAACAGGAATGGAGGTAAAACACTTCTTCTCGTAACAAGTGTCCAAGAGGGAATGTCCTTCACATTGGAAAGATATCCTTTCACTCCCTGTTAAGTCTACAGAACAGAAAGTGAAAAGAAATCTACCTAACAAGACATGTTGGGGGAGGAGGAGGAGAAGACAGCAGTTAAAACTAGGGATGCTTTTGGCAAAATGCAGAAAGTCCATCTTTCGGCCGAAATAGTCGTGCATGCCTAGTTTCTCTCCTCCCACTGGGCGCTGCTTTATGTCCTCTCTGATACAGCGCAGCGTCCAGCAGGGAGGAGAGAAACTGTCAGGGGGGGCCCGAGGGGCAATTGAAATTGCTTTAAAGATCTTTCAGACAAGTTTAGGTCAAGTCTCCATCCTGGAATGTTGGGAGACGTAGACTTTAAATCAGCAATGGCTTTAATGTCCCTGGCGTGTAAGCCCATAGCAATACATTCTTCAGGCTGGGGTCCAAAAAAAAAAGTATAGAATGGCATAAAATTTTAAAGACAGTTTTTAAACTGACATTTGGGCAAATTGCTAAATACCAAGACAAAATACAGATATAAGAGCCGTTTTACCTGCCAAAGATTGGATTTCTGTTCAACCAGTCTGGAGATTTACCCTGTCTGATAGCTCACCCAGCTTAGCATCTGCATTTTTCTCTGCTGCAGTTAACACAGGTAAGTGAAGTAACCACCTTGCCTGCACCCTGTGTTTGGTAAGTGAAGGAGCAGCTCAGGTCAATCTGACTGTCAGTATGTTCATTGTTGGTACAATGAATACACAAAGCTGGCCCTTATTGATGTGCCAGTCACCCAGTCCTCCTGCAGTGTTTATATCTGAGGGATAAATCTTAGGCCCCATTCATGTCTATGGGTAGTTAGGGCACAGGCGTGGTTAGCACCAGAGAACATTTCAGGCCCCACAATGTACACACAATAGGAGGAAGAGTTCTAGCTTATTTTGGTTTAGGGGGCTAAGAAGTATAGGCTAGAGTATATTTGATACTTTAGGGAAAAGACAATTCCATTTGTCCCGAGAGTCTAATGCATAAAATACACCTTAACCATTAACTTCTGCTTGACATACCTAATTTAATAAACCTCAAACACCCGTGGCCTGCATCCGCTATTAAAGTTAATCTAAACGGTGCCCATACACATCAATTTCTGTTTAGAAAATCGTCCACGAATGGTCTTTCGAACGATGATCAGTTGATGGGACACCAAAGATTTTAATTACTGTACTCATGACCAAATTTCCTCGGTCATCTTTTTTTTTTAATCGAACGTAAATCAATGGAATAGTGGCGTTTTAGTACGAAAAAAAATCGCAGCAAGAACACCGCACATGCGCAAATGAAAATCCGTTCTGTCGATCGAAAGTGAGTTGGTATTGCTAACGAACAATTATCGAAATCAACATTGGTCTGTGCATGATGGGCTATTTGAGCTAGAATCAAAAGAGGGTTCTTGGCAGCAACACAAATTTCTGATCGAGAATCTATAGGTGTATGGCCAGCTTAAATCTAAACAAAATATTCAGGCTAATTAAGTTTAAAAAAAAAAAGTCCACACCCATGTGTGTCTGGTCATATGTCACAAAAACAGTAATGCAACCCAAAACTGACAGGATGAGAAAAGTTAGCTTCTTAAAAATATGGCGCCAATGGTGAATATTATATCTGAAAACTTTAATTTGTACCACTAGAGTTCCTCCTTTATAAAAACGCAGTTGAAACAATTCTATCCCATCCCTCCTATCCAGCAGTAGGAAGAGAAAAAGCCGGCAGCCATAATTATCCTATTGTAAATACGCTGAAAAAAATCACATTATATATCACTACACATTTATTTTTAGGAAATCCTGATTGCTACATCAGGAGAGAGAGATGAAAAAGGGACAGTGATTAAGTTATTTGTTTAGTTTTTAAGATTCAGTAGTAATTGCGGGTACACATCTCCCTGACTGCACACATGTTGCAGGTTGAATAGAACACTGAAATTACCTCCTTCATAATAGTTTGTTTTGATAATGTATTGTGTGTGGAGATGATGAGAAACAGTTGCTGTCAATTTGATTAGCCATTATATTTTTATGTTAATTGCCATTATTGGGTCCATTCTGTTTAGTGTCACCATAGAAGCCATACAATGTTAGCATAAATAACAAATTGGAGTAAATTAGGAAGATATATTTTTGCCAATTCATTTTAATTGCCCCTCAGTCCTTCCGTTGGTTAACGCAGTTGTTGACCCATAATAAGCGCTAGGTCAATATAGCTGCTTGTCAATTCAGAAATGCAAAGTGCTGTGGTTCTGAGTAATGGATATACAACAACCTTTGCCAGCCAACTGAAGCAAAACGAATGGCATGTCACATGAAGGAATAAAGCATCAAACAGAGAGTTTAGCGACCTCATATTAGTAGATGGGCTAATTAAAAGTCACTGCCTAAATGGATAGGGAAAATGAAATATATTTCCCCCCCCCCCTCAACACCTCCTGTACTTTTGCTCACTGGCACATTTTGCAATTAGCAAGATGGGTGAAAACAAAAGAATCAATTAGATTTTCACTGTCAAATATGATTAGGCTGAAAGCTTAGAACAAAAATTAATTGACTCCTTCCCTACTGCACTGTGACAGAGCTACCTGAAAACACACTTGATAGAGCTAC